GAAATGTGATGTCCTTAGTGCATATGTGTTAAATGACGAACCAATATTTTTTCTTATTGTCAATGAAATGTGATTAAATCCCAAAGAAACTATTTCTAATTTCATTTCTCAAAAACTTCTGACCTCCTTGTCTGTCTGTCTAATCTGAATCTCACTGGTTTGTACTGACGACATAAATCTTTAAAAAGGCTGAGTCATTTCTTAAAACAGATGGTCACTGTAGTTTTTATCAAACGCCACTGAAACAGGAGGAAATAGTGTATTTTTAAGGCACTATTTTCAACAGCGGATTAATCCACATTTGAATAAACAGAAGTGTGTGTGTTCATGGTGTGAAGGAGCATGTCTCCCAGTCCAGCAGTTTGGCTCACTGATGTGTTTTTTAATTGTTTCTGGACAATAACGGTTTTTTCTAGCTCTTTGGCACACAGGAATAACATCAGGCTTTGAATACACACACAATATCACCAGCTCTTCATTGGTTTCTGGTTGCAGGACTTGTTGGCAAATAAAAAAATATGTATGTATGTAGATGATGGGAAAAGAACAGGTCTTTAAGTTAAATTCTGAGAATCTAGAGTGAGAGTACACACGCGAGAGATGAAACTCAAGAATAATACTATAAAATGGATGAACCTGGTGGTGGTTCCTGTCAGTACCTTATGATGATTCACTGCTCCTGTGTTGAGATCTGAGACTGGCTGAAGCGCGTTGTCAGCTATGGCGTACACATGGCTGAAGCAGAGAACAACAAAAAGTCAAACACACTGTGGAAAGGTACTGAAACATCTGATCTGACACATGCTGTCAAACCGTAGCAGAGATTAATAGTGCAGCTGAGTGAGAAGTGTTCGCTCACGGTGGGTTTCTCTGCTGCTCTTTGCACTGGTATTTCTGTCTCAGCTCATCTGTGTAGATGTTCAGGGGCTTGAAGGGGTTAATGGACAGTAGCATGTTTCCAATGTAAGTCTGGGGAAAAATGACAGAGACATTCAGCAATTCAACATAATTTTCAGACATGTAGCAATATTTACATCATATAAGATTACTCTTATTCTGCTGTCTTTCTGTTCACTTTAATTTCCAAAAACCTGTTAAATGTAAAATTCAATCGCAGTGTGGAATCATTTCAGCCAATGACAGAACGTTTAACCTGATTTAAAATACTGAGGTCAGTAATGAAACTTACATAAATACAGTCACGATGGAACCTCTTCTTCAGATTCAGAAGCACAGAGCTCTCACACACCTCTCTAAGAACATGCAGTAGGCAAACAGTTAATTATACTGTAGGTACTGTGTGTGTGTGTGGTGTGTGTGTGTGTGTGTGTGTGTGTGTGTGTGTGTGTGTGTGTGTGTGTGTGTGTTGTGTGTGTGTGTGTGTGTGTGTGTGTCTGAACTCACTCCAGCTGGACAGATCTTCCACCTCATCCACCTCCACAGCTCTTTTTGCTTCCTGGCATCACCAACCTTAAAAAAGGCAGCAATGTGAGCAGATCCAAGGACACAAGTCCAAATAAATGCACCATCACCACGCCCCCTAAAAGGACCAAGACCTTCATACAACCATGGACAGCCCTTACCCTCTGTCCATGCCATCTTCTATTCTGGCTAAACACTGAACATAATTAGATTTCAAAACTGAACGAGAACCTTTATGTGTTTTCTCTCTGCACCTCTCTGCTGCTGATGTTCCCTCTATCCGTAAACCTTCCACAGCAGGTAACTAATCCACTTGCGGTGATGCAGTGTGTGATAGCCGATATACTGCAATCGCATAGCAGCATGCTTCAGCGTGTTGTAGGTTCTATTGTATCTGCACAGACTGGGAGATGAATAAACCAGCAGGAAGTCTTTTATGGCCCATTGTTTTCTGTGCACAGTAGCTGTAAGTGATGAAGCAGAACCGACTCCAGCCCTTAGACTTTGGACAGCCATAGATTCACCAGTCTGAACTGGGGGTTTATTGGTATTTGGGAGTAAAGCGTGTGGTGGTCAGTCACTTTGGTTCAGAGCAGGTTTTCTGGATGACTATTGGGTATATTGCTTTGAAATTTGATCTATAATTATAAATAAAGGAGATGGTTGTTAGATAAGGTGACCAGATTTCTGAATATGTATGTAGCATATGTATTTTGACGATGGTAATGTTGTACCCAAATTTTTTAGACTCAGTTAATTGGAAACTGAAATATTTATCTTCTCTATGGAAGTAAATATTTCAGTTTAGACTATTAAACACGGCGATTTAAGGAAAGCTTCCTGTTTCTCCCTCAGCCTGTCAAATGTTTCCACCAACCAACCAGAGTATGTGCTTCTGATTGTGGTCCTGCCTCTCAACCAGGTGTATCTTGGCCAATAAGTTTGTTGTTTTTGCTATTTTTCTACATGAAGCTTAAACGAGGGGAGTAAAAAAATGCACCTAAGGAGAATTTATTTCAGCTAGTGATGTGTAGCATGTCAATATGACAAAAGTTTAAGCATTTATATCTTCATGCGTTGCTACGCTTTGCACAAGCTTTAAACTGGCCACCAGAAACAAGGGCCGTTTTAAGAGGCTCATTCCCTTTAGGTGCATTTTTTTACTCCCTCTGTTTAAGCTTCATGTAGAGAAATAGCAAAAACAACAAACTTATTGGCCAAGATACACCGGTTGAGAGGCAGGACCACAATCAGAAGCACATACTCTGGTTGGTTGGTGGAACATTTGACAGGCTGAGGGAGAACAGGAAGCTTTCCTTAAATCGCCGTGTTTTAATAGTCTAAACTGAAATATTTATCTTCCATAGAGAAGATAAATATTTCAGTTTCCATTAAACTGAGTCTAAAAAAATTTGGGTACAACAGTTACCATCGTCAAAATACATATGCTACATACATATTCAGAAATCTGGTCACCTTATCTAACAACCATCTCCTTTATTTATAATTATAGATCAAATTTCAAAGCAATATACCCAATAGTCATCCAGAAAACCTGCTCTGAACCAAAGTGACTGACCACCACACGCTTTAGTCCCAAATACCAATTAACCCCCAGTTCAGACTGGTGAATCTATGGCTGTCCAAAGTCTAAGGGCTGGAGTCGGTTCTGCTTCATCACTTACAGCTACTGTGCACAGAAAACAATGGGCCATAAAAGACTTCCTGCTGGTTTATTCATCTCCCAGTCTGTGCAGATACAATAGAACCTACAACACGCTGAAGCATGCTGCTATGCGATTGCAGTATATCGGCTATCACACCACTGCATCACCGCAAGTGGATTAGTTACCTGCTGTGGAAGGTTTACGGATAGAGGGGAACATCAGCAGCAGAGAGGTGCAGAGAGAAAACACATAAAGGTTCTCGTTCAGTTTTTGAAAATCTAATTATGTTCAGTGTTTAGCCAGAATAGAAGATGGCCATGGACAGAGGGTAAGGGCTGTCCATGGTTGTATGAAGGTCTTGGTCCTTTTAGGGGGCGTGGTGATGGTGCATTTATTTGGACTTGTGTCCTTGGATCTGCTCACATTGCTGCCTTTTTTAAGGTGATGATGCCAGGAAGCAAAAGAGCTGTGGAGGTGGATGAGGTGGAAGATCTGTCCCAGCTGGAGTGAGTTCAGACACACACACACACACACACACACACACACACACACACAGTACCTACAGTATAATTAACCTGTTTGCCTACTGCATGTTCTTAGAGAGGTGTGTGAGAGCTCTGTGCTTCTGAATCTGAAGAAGAGGTTCCATCGTGACTGTATTTATGTAAGTTTCATTACTGACCTCAGTATTTTAAATCAGGTTAAACGTTCTGTCATTGGCTGAAATGATTCCACACTGCGATTGGAATTTTACATTTAACAGGTTTTGGAAATAAAGTGAACAGAAAGACAGCAGAATAAAGTAATCTTATATGATGTAAAATATTGCTACATGTCTGAAATATGTTGAATTGCTGAATGTCTCTGTCATTTTTCCCCAGACTTACATTGGAAACATGCTACTGTCCATTAACCCCTTCAAGCCCCTGAACATCTACACAGATGAGCTGAGACAGAAATACCAGTGCAAAGAGCAGCAGAGAAACCCACCGTGAGCGAACACTTCTCACTCAGCTGCACTATTAATCTCTGCTACGGTTGACAGCATGTGTCAGATCAGATGTTTCAGTACCTTTCCACAGTGTGTTTGACTTTTTGTTGTTCTCTGCTTCAGCCATGTGTACGCCATAGCTGACAACGCCTTCAGCCAGTCTCAGATCTCAACACAGGAGCAGTGCATCATCATAAGGTACTGACAGGAACCACCACCAGGTTCATCCATTTTATAGTATTATTCTTGAGTTTCATCTCTCGTGTGTACTCTCACTCTAGATTCTCAGAATTTAACTTAAAGACCTGTTCTTTCCCATCATCTACATACATACATATTTTTTTATTTGCCAACAAGTCCTGCAACCAGAAACCAATGAAGAGCTGGTGATATTGTGTGTGTATTCAAAGCCTGATGTTATTCCTGTGTGCCAAAGAGCTAGAAAAACCGTTATTGTCCAGAAACAATTAAAAACACATCAGTGAGCCAAACTGCTGGACTGGGAGACATGCTCCTTCACCACCATGAACACACACACTTCTGTTTATTCAAATGTGGATTAATCCGCTGTTGAAAATAGTGCCTAAAAATACACTATTTCCTCCTGTTTCAGTGGCGTTTGATAAAAACTACAGTGACCATCTGTTTTAAGAAATGACTCAGCCTTTTTAAAGATTTATGTCGTCAGTACAAACCAGTGAGATTCAGATTAGACAGACAGACAAGGAGGTCAGAAGTTTTGAGAAATGAAATTAGAAATAGTTTCTTTGGGATTTTAATCACATTTCATTGACAATAAGAAAAATATTGGTTCGTCATTTAAACCATATGCACTAAGGACATCACATTTCAACAAGGACTCAGAGAATCCATTGATAATATCAGCACATAGAGATGTTTGACAATTTTAAAACAAATTACTATTTAAAATTTCATTATTAGCCATGCTAGCATGTCCAACATGCAGTCCAGACTGAAAGATCTTGGAATAAACAGAATGGTATGAAGTTTTTTTTAAGAAAAGAAACAACTCCTGGATGGAACTAACTTTTCATCTAGAACCACCATCAGGTCAAAATTTTGACCAGTTCTTTGGTTTATAATCAAATTCTTGCAAAACTAATGATATTCCCATCAGGCTCAGCTGTACTGTGTGTTTAGTGCTAATTGGCAAATGTTAGCATGCTAGCAAATTAAGATAGTGACCATGATTAACATTAATCCTGTTAAACATCAACATGTGAGCGTTGTTGTTGTGACTATGCAGATAGCAAAACAAATCCGTCCCAGTTTACACCTGGGTCCACGGCCCAAGTCTGGCCCATATACAGCCCACACGATTGTCAGATGCTACTTCCACATCTGGACCAATTCTGGCACACACACAGAAACTCTTCTGGTTGTCTGCCAATTAGAATAGCTACCCGTCCCGTATAATACGGGGTTGCCCCGTATTTGAAAATAAAATGCTTTGCTTGTCCTGTATTTTCATACAAGTCATATCCTCAATGTGCTGTGAATAATGTAATATCACAATTTCATGTAGATCCAAACCAGTTACAGCCTACAGGTGGACTAGACAAGTTTATCAATGAGCAGTAACTGACGAGCTCTGTCTGCTGTGAAGAACTGAAGTCCAACCTGTGGTCCTTTGCTGCATGTCGTCCTCCTACCTGACTTTCCTCTCTAATTCTAATTATAAATCAGCATTAGGTTTAGGGGTGCCCCTTATTTCTTTACATAAAAGGTGGCAACCCTACAGCCACTACCGGAGGAAAACAGCTGGAATATGCCCATATTCCATAGTCCATGGTGGTATATGGGCCAGACTCGGGCCAAGGACAAAGGGAAACTCAGTTCAGATGTACACTTTCAGATGTGTGTGTTATTTTATGTTACCTGGTATAAATCAGCTAAAAGTGTCAGTGGGTGCTCTGGTGGCCTCGGGGTTAAGGTGCCAACCATGGAGCTCAGTATCTCCAGTTCACGATGAGGCCATTTATTGCTCATCATCTCTCTCCCCCCTCATCTACCTGTCATCTCTCCATCGCCAGCTCTCTGATAAAAGCATTAAATGTCCAAAAAAATAAGTAATTTTTTTTCTTGTGTAGTGGCCAGAGTGGTTCAGGAAAAACTGAAGCTACCAAGCTGATAGTTCACTACCTCAGCTCCATGTATCAGGGTAGAAACAACAATCTGCGACAGGTAAAAATCCTGTTTAATCAGTTAGCAACACTGAAAGGCTTTAGCAGCTGTAGTCCTCTAACCATTTTCATATTTGATTCACCTCCATCTTTCTGTTTCTTGACCAGCCCATGGAGGTCTTTCCCATCCTGGAGAGTTTTGGGAATGCCAAGACCATCCTCAACAACAACTCCAGCCGCTTTGGCAAGTACCTCCACATCCACATTCTCCAGTGAGTCCACCTTATGTTACTCTCTGTAGAAATGTCTTTTGATGTTTTACCCCCTTGTTCCTTTGTTGCTTCCCCTGACTGTGTCTTGTCTTGGTTGACAGTGGGGTCGTTGTAGGGACCTCATTGTCCAGGTATCTCCTTGAGAAGTCCAGGGTTGTATTTCAGGTGAGAACATTGAGTGAGGTGTGCTGTGTGTTCCAAATAGGCTTCACGGAGGTGTCCATATTTCATCAGGTTCAAACAGATTACAAGAAAAGCTTTTGGAAAAAAAACAACACATCACACTGCCTTTGGTGCCTACGTTGTGGACAGGGCTGCTGGGTAATTTGTCACTGTGTGAATTAGCTGTGTGATCATCTTTTCGTCTAATATACCACAGGACTGTTTGTGTTGGCTTGTAAGGAAATGTCTCAAGTTCCTTTTCTGGTTGGTTGCTTTTGCTTCTTGGTAAATGAATGGTTTAGGGGCTCAGCTTTCTCAGCTTGATAAAGGACACCTCCCCCTATAAAACTGATCAAATGGCTCAGTCCTCAGTTTGCAGCCAAGGCTCTGGGGAGACACTGACTTTGGGAAATATCTTGGCAAATATTAAATGGATTGCTGTGAAGTAAGAGAACAACACACGGCCACTAATTTGTGCTTCATTAAGGGTTTTTGTTTGTTTCAGTTTTCCTCTAAGTGTACTGTAATTCATCAGAATTCATGAACTGCATGGATTCCTCTGTCTCGTTCTCGTCTCATTTGCCTTGTAGGCCAATGAGGAGAGGAACTACCATGTGTTTTATGAGCTGCTGGCCGGTATGAACGACTGGGACAAACAGGAGCTCTACCTGCAGGGAGCTGAGACCTATTACTACCTGAACCAAGTACATCACACATCAGCGAACACACAACTATGCCCATCTCTGATTTTCTTCATGTTTTCCCTTCCCTTTCACATTTATTTTCCCCCTGTCCTCCTGTAGGGTGGTGCCTGTGAGCTGAACGGGAAGCAGGACAAAGAGGACTTCCAACTTTTGGTTCAGTGCTTTGACACCATCGGCCTCCACGCTGACCAGGTCTCCACCGTCTGGGCCATCCTGTCCTCCATTCTGCAGCTCGGCAACATCTGCTTCAGCTCATACGAGGTATGTGTGTGTGTGTGTGTGTGGGAGAGAGAGAGAGAGTTAGTCAGATCAAACGCTGGTATCATACATCAGCTGGTGTTGTTTCAGAGCGAGTCCTTTGAGGTGTCCCGGATCTTCAGCGAGGCTGAGGCCAGGAGGGTTGGCTCCCTGCTGCAGATTTCCTCTGAGGCCCTGCAGACTGTCATCACTCACAGAGTCACAGTCAGTAGCCTCTCATGCACCTGTCAGGCCTTAGTGTTCACTGCTTTAAATATACACACTGATCAGCTCTCTCATCCACAGGAGACGACGTACGACAGGATCTACTGCCCTCTGTCTGTGGAAAGTGCCATAGAATCCAGGTAGGAAAGTTTAAACACAAATAACAGACACCGCTATACTTTAAGAGATGCTTCCTGCTATCCGTCCAGTCATCCATCCATTCTGTGCCACTTGTTCTGGAAGCGGTTGCAGTGGCAGCAGGCTAAGGATGCCATGTCCTGTAGCTCTTCACGGGTGACCCCTGAGCCCCTCCCAGGCTAAATGATAGATATAAAGCAGATGTGTCCAACAGGTGGCTGGTGAGCTACTAGTAGCTCAGCCCCTGTTTCAGAGTACTCACACACAGTTTCAGAGAATAGAATCTGTACCTCTCTTCAACACCTAATCATATTTGTCAGTTGTCAGTCAAATGAGTTACACTGTCTTTGTTTAAATCAGACAGGTCGTAGACATGCAGTGATAGCGACTCTTCTGGATAGAGTTAAATGTTAAAGGTCTTCACTTTCATTAACACATATAAACTAAACTTTTCCAACAAACAGGAAATATGTTGCCATGGATACAGTGAGTTAAACTGTGGGTTTCAACTTGAGCCCATGTTTGTTTACATTTTGGAAAATGAAGTGTAGTGACGGATCCATTTTAATTTCCTGTTTGTTGTTAACCATTGATGTACTGACAACTATCACTGATCACTGAGAAAGGGGAGCTTCCTCTTGAAGTTTTCCTGATGACATCATCAGGGTTATTTTCTCAGACTTCGTCCAGAGTTCAGAGCCACTGAAGATACCATACAACTGTTCAATTGACCTTGATGAGTAAAATCGTTTGAGTTGCTTGGACCGTGAAACAANATCATGACTCAGATTTTTGTCTGATGTCAGTTTCACATGTATTTGGATGTTGATATTTGATGACTTGTTAGTTGATTTTATTCATCTGATTTGGTTTGGAGATCACTTGTGTTTTGATTATATGTGAATGAATGTAACCAGTGATATAAGACGTGTGGAGCTCTCAGCCCCTTTTATCCTGTCAAAGTAGCTCTCAGAGTATAAAAGGTCGGAGACCCCTGATGGGGGTTCTGGCTCTGCCCTGTTGTCTCCTTCCAGCTGGATGTACCTTGACTACTTCCACAAGGACGAATTCAGGAGTAACTCATGTGGTTTATATGTTTATGTGTTTGATATTATTGAATATCAACCCAAGCCTACTTGCTGGTAAATCAAACATCCAGTTTGTATCTTTCTGTTTCTTGAAGTTTTCCTGATGACATCATCAGGGTTATTTTCTCAGACTTTGTCCAGAGTTCAGAGCCACTGAAGACACCATACAACTGTTCAATTGACCTTGATGTGTAAAATCGTTTGAGTTGCTTGGACTGTGAAACACATAGTTTTAACTTGCACTTAAAGGTACATGTGCCTCCTCTCTCTCTCGTAGAGATGCCATAGCCAAAGCCTTGTACTCAGTGTTGTTTGACTGGTTGTTGGAGCAGATCAACGACTGGCTGAGTCCCACAGAGATGGACAGCACAGTGGGGATAGTGGACATCTACGGGTTTGAGGTTGGTATCCTGGACTGAGATCTGCTCTTCTGGATTATCTGGTGGCGTTGGTTGGACGTGACGTCACAGGTCCCTCTGTGTCCCTCTGCAGGACCTGGGAGTGAACAGCTTTGAGCAGCTGTGTATCAACTTTGCCAATGAGCAGCTGCAGCACTATGTCAACAAGGCAGTGATATGTCAGGAGGAGGTCAGTGGGCTGTAGGTTAGATCCACGATCTACATGATCGTGGATCAACCCCTTAATGACTTAATCAACAGTTGATGAGTCATTTACTAATGGCCTATAGAGCTGTTGAGTTGCCAGTTTATTAACATTTACAACAGCAGAGTAGATGGATCAGTGCAATAACCATTAGAACGTGAGAAACTCATTCCCTCTAAAAGTGTATATAACAAGCAATGACTTTATTTAAGACTTACCTTTATTAACGACCTGACTCTCAATGACTCGCCAGCAAAAGCAATTATTCACAAACTGGCAACCCAAACATTGTCCTTCCCTATTAAGAACTTATAACTGATCTAAAAGGCATTAATAAACAGTTTATTAACAACTACTGAGGCTGCTAGGTAAAACCTATGAGCCCTTCATTGAGGGTGACTTTTTATAAAGTGGTACCACGTTCATAGTTTTGTATTTCTCACACATAATCACAATCACAGTGAAAAAGAAGTTCCAAGACACATGTCAAGCAAAATAATAAAAAATAAATCCTGACTAAGTATTAAAACCAAGTCTTACAAACCACAGCTTAACATATTGTCATACTCCAGCTCCATAGCCCTCAGCCTACACCAGAGTATGTAGTATAGACTTTACACTTTAGTGAAGTCAGGATGAGCATGCCTTTAGTATCAGTTACAGTTTATGCTAATATGTTAGCATGGAGTATTGAAGCCAGTGGTGTCAGTGCTCTCATCAACTAATGGGAAATCTGGACAATGAAACCAAGGAGCAGTGGGTGTGTGTGTGTGTGTGTGTGTGTGTGTGTGTGTGTGTGTGTGTGTGTGTGTGTGTGTGTGTGTGTTTTTCCTACAGGAGGAGTACAGTGCAGAACAGATCCAGTGGCACTCGATGCCGCACAAGAACTTCCACTCCTGCCTGGAGCTGATCTCTTCCAGGCCACACGGCATCCTCCGCATACTGGACGCCCAGACCTGCCTCCCCCAGGTACACACACAAACACACAAACACTCTATGTGGGGGACCCGTTGTTTACATAATGCATTCCCTAGCCCCGCCTAACCCCAACCCTAACCTTATCCTATTTCTACCCCTAACTCTAAAATCAAGTCTTTGCCAAACAGCCATTTAAACTTGTAGGGTCCACAATTGTAGTGGGCTCCTGGTTTTCAGAGCCCCTTTTCAGACTAGATACATTAGAAAGGCTTTGACAGCCACCTTGATAAGCACGGAAACGCCCCCTTTGCTCATATTGCAGCGTGTCAGGATCATTAGTTTTGGAAAAAAAATGTGGTAAAAATGAAAATGTGCAGCCTTAGACTGAAGACAAGGAGCTGCAAGCAGAGCCTTCACATAACTCTGTGTTTTTTCAGGCCACCGACCACACCTTCCTCCAGAAGTGCCACTATCACCATGGGAACAGCCCCCACTATGCCAAGCCCAAGAACCCACTCCCAGTCTTCACTATTTATCACTATGCTGGAGCTGTCACCTATCAGGTATGACCACAGCTGATCCATCAAACAGCAGCTGATGCAGGGAGGAGGTTTATATTCAAAGAAATCTCTGTGTTTTCAGGTCCATAACTTCCTGAATAAGAACCACGACCAGTTCAGGACAGAAGTGGTGGAGCTTTTCGCCAGGAGTCGCTTAAAGGTGAAACAGCTGGAAACACACACAGGCTGCTTGTGTGGACCTGTTCTAACGAGAGATTTTAATCACATTTTACAGTGTTTTACAGGCCAACCAACAAATTAATAGAACAAGGCTGTAAAGAGATAAACAGCCAGCAATGGGAGACTAACACTAAAAATAAAAATAAAGAGACAGATCAATAATAAAAGTGACATAAAATAAATAAAACCAAAACACAGTAGTTGAAGAACGTCCAAGACGTCATGTCGTGATTCAAAAATAGTTGAAAAACAAAAGTTGTGCTGACGTGCAGGACGCTTCATGACCATCATAACAACTTGCAGCATTCCTGTGTTTGCATGTATTTTCTGTATAAATACGGAAAA